ACTTCGTCGGATGATTTTGATTTTATTTTTAATATTATTATTTTTAACAGACCGGGACAGGAAATCCGTTAAAAATTCATAACTTCTTCATCCGACGTCCGTTTTTGTCTGTCTTTTTACCGTTGTACTACTATTGACGATACCTTCAATTCTGGTTTAGGTTGTGTCGGCTAAAAATCACTCAATCTTTATTTTGAAGTTTTTAGCTGTACACTGCTACACTGAAACTTAGAAAAATCGTAACTTCCTCATACGAAGTCAGATTTTTCCGTTTTTTTTATGAAAGTTCTCGGTTTAACATAAACTACAACTTTCATTTAGATTGTTAAGGCTAAAAAGCCTTTTATTGAAAATCCAGTTTTTACACTAAACAATGTTTTTCCGGTTTTGTCGCGGATCTTCGATTGGTCATAACTTCTTCGTTATAACTCGGATTTTAGTGTTCTTTATGTTTTTGGAAACCTTGTTACAATCTCTAATACTTGGTTCATCCCAATCGAGATTGTTTAATAATTTATTTTTGAGGGTCAATTATGTAAATATACACAGTATGCTAAAATTTCTCTTTATTATTTTAAAAAGAAATACAAATTGACCTTAAAAAGAAATACAAATTGACCTACATTTTTACATAGGTTTGAAATAACGGTTTGTTACATGAGGCGTACTAGCGATTTGACTGACTTGTCTTATACATATAATATATTAATCTTTTAGTTATAGATATAGTATAAGGTGTATTTTAAAACTTTTCTAAATTACTAGGTTCAAGTTTAAATTTTCGAAATTAATAAAAATTAATTTAATTTAAAAATAAAAAAGTTTTGATTTAATCTTCAACTTTTAATTATGCAATTAATCAAATTAATTAAATTATTATGGATTAAATAATTATTTACAATTAACCAATTACTAAAATAATTCAAATTTAATCCTAATCCTAAGCCTTCTAATTTTCGAAAATAGGCTAGGATTTATCAGCTTTTAATTGTTCAAATTTTAAGTCTTTTAAAATAAAAAATAAGGAAACAATGTAAACCCTAAAGAGGACTCCTCAATTTTCGAATATAGGAAAAGGAGGCTAGGGTTTCTAAAACTCCAATTGCGAAATTTTGCCTCTTTAGGGTTTAGTTTCTATAAACTCCAATTTTGATCTATTCAACTTTATGAAAGATCAATGAGAATAATGGCTTTGATACCACTGATGAGTTTTATAGGTTACACAAATCTTATTTTGGCGGAAAAACTTAAACCCTAAGTTCACATGCAACCTAAAGGATCTTTGTTCTCACTATGATTTGCAAAAAACAATTAAATATCAAAAACCCTAAAAGTACATTGCTATTTTTGAAATTAAGAAAGGGTTTATAGAAATTACATTATAGCAAATAAACTAATATTCCTTCTTGATTGGCCGTTGGAAAGCAAGCACCAGAAGTCTCGTACCTCTAATGGCTCACACCCAAACCCTAGCAATTGGAAGCTAAAGAGGAGAGAGGAGAGTGAAGGAATTTTCGGCTCTAAGCTCTTAGAGAAGATATGGCTGAAAATATGAATCCCATAAGGGGTTTATATAGGCGATTAAGGAAGTTAGGATAAGGCATATTTCCTTGGATAAACCTTATCCCTTTTCTTGCCCCCCAAGACATTCTAAGCTTCCTTAAAGCCCAAGAAAAGCTCTAGAATCCTCCTCTATATCCGTCCCCCTCTTGAGAGGTTCTAGAATTGGTCCATGGTTAATTTTTAACATTGTCATATTTAGTCCTTCTACTTTTAATTACTGCAGTTAATCCCAAAATTAATTCCAATTAATTTCTGATTAATTTTTAATTAAACAATACTATTTCTAATTAATATATTATTCTCATAATATATTAATAAATTATTTATTTTGATTTCTAATTAATTTATTAACCATATAATAAATTAATAAATCAATCTCTCTCTCTCCAAAAAGCATTATAGTCAATTATTAAGTTTGAGGGCAATCCAAAATGACTCTGATAAAAATTCAAGATTATACTAATTTAGTTATTGACTTAGACACCTAATCCAACAATATCATCCTTACGGCTGATATCGTATAAGGAACCTCAAAACGTCCCCCTTGTTCATTTCCTTCTAGGTTTCTGCCTTTTTTGTCGCTCTTCTGTGATGATATAGGCTTTGGATAAAGTTAGGGTGTTATTTATAGTTTTTCTGACTGACTTAAATCGATGTGCGACACACATTTCCTGGTGCGAGCTTGTAAGTTTGGTATAATCTTCAAAATCTTCAGAATCTCTTGAATTGCTAAGTTTCATCCATTTTCCTTGGTCAATAATCCACAGAAATATGCTCCAAAATTGCCCTTTTGGCTTCTATTTCATTAATTAGTCATTTTCAGCTACACAACATAAATATAGATCGATTAAGCACCTTTCGTCATATTTTAATGATAAAAATGACTTAAAAAGTATATAAATGTCCATTAAAATATGTATGATTTGGGACACATTAGGTATATTATGGTTCAACTTTACACACTGTTTCATGCATTGGACCTAAGAAATGATCAAATTTTCATGAAAAAGATAAGTAAAGAAGACGATTTCACTATCTAATTAGGGCACCTCCTTAAACCTTCAACTTGTGTTTTCCATATTCCAACCAACTACAATATTTGATTCCTTTCCACAATTGCATCGAATAAGGAGTTACATTGAGATTCGATTTCATTGATGTAACTTCTTTGGATAGATGAGTAAGACATTGTATTGAGAAAGTGAAATTGATTGAATGGAAAAAGAGAAAGGAAAAAAATAGGACTTCAAGGACATCCTATTGATATTAAGGAGAATGTCATTTACCATGTCAGCACCTATGTGTCATTCCATGTTGGATATAGTTTGTCACGTCACCAACAAAATAAAAAGTATCCGATAATAATAACAAAAAGTTAACAAAAAACTATAGGGAAAATGACTTATAAGGGTAACAAAGTATTAAAAATATATAAAAAATACCATTGAACTTTTGTTTGTACACGTATTACTATCAAACCATTAGTCGTTGTACACATATGACCATTAAAGTTTACCTTTTAAAAAAAACAGTATTGACGTTATCGACATAATAGGTTACCAACTACATGGCCATGATATAGATTTTATTGTTGATGATATACACATTTTAACATTAAAATTTACATATACATTTATCATTAATTTTTTCTATACGCATTTCACCATTAAATTTTATATAATTTATTAAAAAAAATAGTATTTTGAAAGCTACATATATTTTAATATGAATATATATTTTTACTTATAGATAATGTGTTTTTTTGACAATTTTTTGTCTTAATTTCAATTATCGGTCAAAATGTTTTATCTTAAGGATCTGGATAACATACGTCATTGGTCTAGTATATCTAATGATAATATTTTTGATTACATACCCGTCACTTCTACAAATCTAACAAATCGATGTCATATAATTTGATGATGAAATCAATAGTGATTCAGAGGTTCATGGCTGGTTTTCTCAAACGGGTGAAATGAAGCAATTAGGTGCAAATGATTGCCATTTCACAAGTGATTATCGATCAAGAAAATCACTTCGTATGAAGTATATTGTGTGACTTATATGGTTTATCAAAATTCAGTTCCTGTGATTAAAGGCAAGTCTAATTTTTTTGTTAGCTCATTGTTAATTGCTATGTTTTCGATTTGTTTCAGTATGTGGAGTCCTTTTATGAATCATTTTTAAATAAAGGTGGAGTCTCATATTGCACACCTCACACTTTCAGTGGAGTCCTAGCAGCAGCAGCAGCAACAACTTATATATAAATATCTATTTTAATACCTAAACAATAGAACATTTTTAAGTTTTATATAAACCACGGTTATTTAGTTTTAAATTAATATTATATTATATTAAATTATATTAAGTTATATTATATTAATTTATGAAAACATAAAAGATAGATAAACAGATTTATTTAACAACATTATATTCTTATTTATTGAGTTAATAATGTTTTAAAATAATTAATTATTTAAATATTTTATTTTAATTATGTTATACTAAAAAATATTATAGATTAAAGATTAACTTTTGTAGTATGTAGACATGTAAGATTTTGGATTTATGTAGTCTAAACAATAACAACACTCCAGAATATGCATAAGATATTAAAAAATATGATGTTTTAGACTCGATACATATTTTTTAGTAGGCCATTTAGGATAGTCGCTTTATTTATGATAGTAAATTTTGTTAATATCCATAACTTTATTCAAATGCAAATTGCAAAATGTTTAATATTATATTGTTGTAGATTAGCCATCTTGAATCCTATTAATTTGAATTTTATTTTACAATCGAAATATATTCAATAGTTAACTTCTAAATTAGTTAAAAAATAATAATTAAAATACATTTAATCGATAATTACAATTAACTTTATATAAAATTAAAAGTTGCATTAACTTAATAATAATAATAAATTGCATTGAGTTAATTGTTTGATTGAATCTGAAAAAAAAAATGAAAATGTAGTTTTAAAATAATTCAAAGAATAAAATTATATTAAAAAAAATATAGCATAATTATGTATCTAAACCCGTGGGTAGACGGTCACTAAAATCATCATGTATTTCACGATAAATATTTATCTTTATAACCAAGCTAATTTATATTTTGTTTTATCATTATGTTCAACTATAATACATTTGTACTTATAATCATCTTTAAAATTTCAAATATTATTATTAAATTTTCAAAATCATTTAACATGATTATTTAATAAAATATATAAATTAATATTTTAAGTATATAAACATTTGTCTGTATCGATTCTCCGGGAACACAGAGGCCATCCATTCGTTGAGCTTGTTATATAAAGTATGTGCTCATAACTGCTAGTGAACAAACAAAACACCCTGTTTCCATCCACCTCACAAATATCATCAACAAAATCCAACCAGATCAAAATCAAACCTCACACTCTTCCTCAAATGTTAAAGGAAAACCCAATTCAAGAATTACAGTTGCAAAATCCAAATCCAATTCAAAATCCAAATCTAAATCCAAATCAAAATCCCCCAAAAATCTTTACTACCATGGCAGCAAACTCGCCGACCACCACAAGGAAAGAAGGTGAATTTCTCCTCCTTGGCCGATACGAGATCGGAAAGCTTCTCGGACATGGCACCTTCTCTAAAGTCTACCTCGGTCGTAACGTGAAAACCAATGAATTTGTCGCCATTAAAGTGATCGATAAAGAACAGATCTTGAAAGGCGGTTTAATCTCCCACATAAAACGCGAGATCTCCATCCTCCGCCGTGTTCGCCACCCCAACATCGTCCAACTCTTCGAGGTAATGGCAACAAAAGCTAAAATATTTTTCGTTATGGAATACGTTAAAGGCGGTGAGTTGTTCAATAAAGTTGCTAAAGGTAGATTAAAAGAAGAAATCGCTAGAAATTATTTCCAACAACTCATTTCTGCTGTAGGGTTTTGTCATGCTCGTGGTGTTTTCCATCGAGATTTAAAGCCTGAGAATATATTACTAGATGAAGATGGTAATTTGAAGGTCTCCGATTTCGGATTAAGCGCCATTTCTGAGCAAATCAGAGGCGATGGTCTGTTTCATACCTTTTGTGGGACGCCGGCGTATGTTGCGCCGGAGGTTTTAGGCCGGAAAGGGTACGAAGCTGCGAAAGTCGATATCTGGTCATGTGGGGTTATCTTGTTCGTTTTAATGGCTGGTTATTTACCATTTCATGATCAAAACGTTATGGTTATGTATAAGAAGATTTACAGAGGGGAATTCCGGTGTCCACGGTGGTTCTCGCCGGAGTTATCCCGGCTGTTAAAACGACTCCTTCAAACAAACCCAGTTACCAGAATCACCATACCGGAGCTCATGGAGAATCGTTGGTTCAAGAAAGGTTTTAAGAACATAAAATTCTATTTAGAAGATGATAAATTGTTTAGCGTGAAAGATGAAGACTTTAAAGACGATGATATCGATTACTCATCCGATCAATCTTCACGGCCCGAATCACCTACCGAGGTTGACACCAGAAAGCGGCTCACCACCATGCCCAGACCTGCAAGCTTGAACGCATTCGATCTAATTTCATTCTCACCTGGGTTCAGTTTATCTGGCCTTTTTGAAGACGCCGGAGAGGAGTTACGTTTCGTCTCCGGCGCCACCGTGCCACACATCATTTCGAAGCTCGAGGAGATCGCAAAAGGGGTGAGTTTCAAAGTAAGGAAGAAGGATTTCCGGGTAAGTTTGGAAGGATCAAGGGAGGGAGTGAAAGGTCCATTGACGATCGGAGCTGAGATATTTGAATTAACACCAAATTTAAGAATGATTGAAGTAAAGAAGAACGCCGGAGACAAAGGGGAATACGATGAGTTTTTTGATCGTGAACTCCGGCCGGGATTGCGTACTCTGATGTTGCCGGCGCCTATCTCCGGTGAATCTTCGGTTTTGCCGTCTGAGACTGAATCACTTAAATGATTTTGGTTGTATTAGCGAGTGCCACGTGCCAAAGCCTTGGGGCTTATTGACTGTGGAAACATATATAGGTTCGAGTTCCACATTAAAAGCAGTAAAAAGATGTTGTATTTTAGTGTATATCTCGATGTTGAATCCTTGTTTTTTCAATTTCTATGACTTGTAACGTTTCTTTGATATTTGGAGTTGGGTAGAATATGTTGTGGCTTTTTAATAATTGAAAGTATTGGAAGTGGAAGGTGATTTCCATAATCTAATGATAGGAAACAATAAAGAATAAGCCAATGTAACTTTATGTTATAGATTTATATATTTAATATTTCACAATGATTGTTGTAAGATATTGGTGTGAAATTGTATTTTAATCTTTAACAATGATTATTGTAACATGTTTGTGAGATTGATAATCTTATATATATAAACTAGGTATGTTCCTAGATTATTGTAAAATGTTGATGAGATTATAATCTTTTATATATAAACCAGGTACGTTTATAGGCCCGCCCAAAGGTCAGACCAAGAGGCTTAATTTAGGAATAAAAGAAACCAAGGTGAAATGCCAAAATTAGAAAGTAACAAGATTGGAGGGTTAGTTTGGGAATGAGATAATGACTTAAAATGGTAATATATTTTTCGATTTGTACACATTTGGTTACTGAGTTTTTTTTTCGTCCACATTTACCTCTTCAACTTGTTAAACTGTATACATTCAGGAGGTCCTTATGACCGACTACTCCAGGTTACCCGGTAAAAATGATTTAATACGATAATATATTTTTCACTTTGTACACATTTAGTCCTTAATATTTTTGTACACATTTAGTCCTTATTTTTTTTAATTTTTTATTATTTTTTTTTTGCAAAATAAGTCATTTTTTTGTACTCATTCAATACTTATGAATGATTTTTTTAGGTTTTTCTCATAAAATCTTACGTGAGACATTCATTAATGAGGTATATGAGGCTTTTGATGCTTATATCTATCACGATCTCGACTACTTGGTTGCTTAGGTAATGTAGTCTGTACGTCATAACATCTTCATACGATCTTTATATCCATGCGTTCGTATTTTAGTCTACTTTTCATTTAGATTACTCCCATTAAAAAATAATATATTTTTACGTACGATTTTTATATTCATACGTCGGGGCGGATTTAGCATGGTCTCAGTGTTGCACCGACAACACCTGTTTTTTTATTCGCAGTGGAAAAAATTTTGATTTTTTTTTCGTTTATACCTATTTTTCATGTATCGGCAACACCTATTTCATCTCGACAATACCTACTATGTATTCTGCGTCTGCTCCTGTCCATACGTTTTTTATGAATGCATATATGGATGTTTTTTTTTTAATAAAATCGTAAGTAAAAAATATATTAGATTTTAACTGGAGTAATCTTAATGAAAGTTGTAGTAGACTCAAAACAATGAAAACGTGGATATAAAGATCGTTAAAATTTGATATCGTAAGAAGAAGTTATGATGTTCAAAATACAAGACCTAAGCCAAACCACAAGACCTACGCAACCAAACAATCGAGATTAAGTTGGACATAAACATCAACAACCCCAAACACCTCATCAATGATTGTCTCACGTAAGATGTCGTGAGAAAAAACTAAATAAATCATTCATAAGTACTGAATGAGTACAAAAAATGACTTATTTTGAAACAAAAAAAAAGTTAAGGACTAAATATGTACAAAAATATTAAGGACTAAATGTGTACAAAATGAAAAATATATTGCCCTATTAAGTCATTTTTCCCGACTAACCTGGAGTAACCTGTCATAAGGACTGAATGTGTACAATTTAACAAGTTGAAGGGGGTAAATGTGGACGAAAAAAAACTCAGTGATCAAATATGTACAAATTAAAAAATACATTATCCTTTTAAGTCATTATCCGGGAATAAAAGAAGCCCAGGTGAAATGCCACAATTTGAAAGTAACGAGATTGGAGGGTTAATTTGGAAATAAAAGAAGCCAATGTGAAATGCCATAATTGGGGTAAAGAGAGTGGATGTCAACATTCAATTATTTCCAATCATACACTCTTCCAGACAATGGTAATATCCTTTTTATTTTATGAAGGTTTCTTAATTTTATAAATTCAATTTAATTAGTAATCACAATACAACGAGGAAGAAGTAAAACAAACAATAAGTTGCCCCGTTATTTTTTTTTTTTGTATAATAACATATCCTTGAATTCCTTATTACCTCTTTGATTACTAACTTGATTTTGAATTGAATAAGCATAATAATTTAAAAACTATCATTATCTATACCAATTAAACAATATCATAGTACTTAGATTACATAATTACTACATACATGAAACATATGCCAAATGATCATGACCAATTGAAAAATACAACAATATCCTAATAAGAATAAATTTAAAGTATAATTCTATAACCGGTTAGAACGTTTCAAAATATAGTGTCTTGAAAGGAAAACAAAATTTAAAGTACAATCTTGTAACATAAAGAAACGAAGTATGATGTTATATTAGATTAACAATGGACATATGTTGCTAACTTTTTGCGTTTAAATCTAACATTCAAACAATAAATACGAACTACAATTTCAAATTACCGTGGCCTCACCAATGCCATGTCTTCTACACCTGCAACTCTTGGTTTCAGTTTGACAATTCATCACAGTGTTTTGGGAACACTATCATTGGTCTTGAATAAGGTTTTTGGATGAAAAACAATAATTAATACAAAATTATTTTTGTTTTTCTATCCAACCGTAGCATTGAATGTAAAGAAGCTTGTTTGTTTAATGAATATGAGAAAAAACAAAATGCAATGCAACTAAATGAACCTAAAAGGAGTACCAAAAAATGTATTAAATTCCAAGGTAGACAAGTCCCACTTAGACATTTCCAATACATCAAATGAGAAAAATATATGGCAGGAACATAATATTCGTAACATCCAATAAAATTCAAAATCTTTTCGATAAATATTTTTATAGTTGGAGACCAAAAAAAATAAAAAAAATAAAAAAAATAAAAAAAAACTTTCTGAAGAGACAGGGATACAAAATTGAAAACAAACTAAGATCGGTGTAGCCCCTACGTCCACTTATTGGTTTAAATTGCAAAGAATACTTATTTCTCATTTATTATAACTCATAAGGGTAATTTTGGAATGATTTTCATTTTTTGAAAATGGTTAAAAGATAATGGACTCCTAAGAAGAAGAAAATTTGAAGATATATATCCTCATAAATGATTCAACCTGAATAATAATCATCATCATCCAACAAGGAGCTGTTGGCAGTAGCATTATTGGAATCTTTGAGTCATTAGGATCCGCGTGTTAGAAATACCCTGCCAACCATAGTACTATTATTCAATATTAGGTTTTGGTTCATCTAGGCTTTTAGATCTTTACACACTTTATCAAATTGATGTTGGGTTTTAATAGCATCAACACACTTTCTAAAGGTAGCGGAAACAATCAAAATTTACCTAAGCGTACATGCACCATAACATCTAGGTTTTACTAGTTATAGCAACCTACTATAAAAATCAAACTATAAGATGGAATACTAACCTCTTTGTTCTTTTATTGAGACCATGTGACTGCCAAAACTTGCAACGGATGAAGGACCCAAAGTATAATCCATCTAACGTAGTCAGACCCACAAACTCCAAAAGCTAACAAGGATTAACCTTAGTCTAGGGTTTGATGAAAATTCTATAACCCTACGAGAGGGTTTATAATTTTCATAGAAGGGGGGGGGGGGGAGGGGAGAGAGAGAGAGAGAGAGAGAGAGAGAGAGAGAGAGAGAGAGAGAGAGAGCTTGGATGATTTTGGGAGAGGGAATCAACAGTTAGGGTTTGACTGCTAACCGTCTAATTGTCTAATTATAGGTAACAAATGAATTCTCAAGGGATACAAACTCGTAGGGTTTATCTTTGTCTTATTCAAAACATGTCATATCCCTATCCAGGGATAAGTATAACTGTCTCCTACCAAGCTCCATGAGTTTCTGGAATATTCCAATTAATCTTTAATGAATTAATTAATATTCAAGCCCTTTAATTAATTAAAACTATTTAATTAATTTATTAATTACCTAATAAATTAATAACTTATTTTTATCCATTTCCTTATTGCTAATTGTGTTATGAGGCCAACCCATAAAGAACCTTCTATTATTAAAAATATTACCAAACAGTTAATGACCTTGGAAACTATTTCCAACAGTTACCCACTTGGACAAGTCGTTAACTTTCCAGGTCTAATACTTCATTAACAATCAATAGAGAGTAGTCATCTAATGCAACCGTTAAACTCTTTTCAGAATCAAAATTTAGTCCTTAGATAAGTGATTGAATATTCCTTTATTCTAGATATATCTATAAACATGAGACATGGATAAGAATCCATCTCAATGTTCAAAGTTTTGTTTCCCGATACAGATTTCTGACTATCACATTTGACTTCTAAATGGAACACATTAATTTAGTCAGGGCTCCGCTAAGCACTTTAGATGCCAACACCAAATCATCGATTGTCCCATAGATATTGCTTCTCAGTTACAAGAAGGAACAAATAAACTTTGACTACATAGTTTTTGTATACTCATCTAATCATACATGGAAATACCCTTTATGACTACCAGTTACGTATAGTGTTAGCAGATCAATACACAACAGATTTTATAAGAAAAATCTCATATGCATCTAGGTTTGAAGAATAAAAGATATTATCATATTAGAATTACTTATGACAAGATCCATTAAGTAATCTCTAAGTGCGGGTTGTTCCAATACTTAAAATCTTTATTGTTAAGTACTTATGAGTGTTAGCGCAATATTTATGCAATGTCCAATCTTAATGGCCAATTAACTAATACTCATGAAAATCTTAAATCACTTACTCACTTCCTAAAGTCCGACCGACTATGGGTGTTTGAATATAGTTAAACATTTTGAAAGTGGGTTCAAACATGCAACAGAGAAACACATAAAAAAATAAC